CTTTCTCGCATATTCTTTTTTTTTTTTTTTTCTGCATTTTTATGCGTATCAAGTTTGCAGATATTTTTTAAAACTTTTTTCTTTATCATTATTACACATTAACTTTTACTTTTGATGAAAAAAGAAGAATTATTTTAAAAACTTGATGGTGAGTATGCTCTGATATAATTGTTATCGCTATGCAGTGGTTCTGCAATGACTTAAAAACAAGAGAAAAAGGCTAAGAAACATTTCGACAGGTCAAATTCAGTTTAGCTCAAATGGAAGCAGCTTATTTTTTGGCGATGAATCTGCTGCTTAGCACTCTGAAGATACGCGGCCCGCATAATAATGGTTGTTGTTGTTGTCGTCGTCAATTCATACTTGTTTGTTGCCATAGCCGTGACCAATGTTGTGGCTAAAACATTTTATGCATTATGGATCGGCCAGTGAATCAATCAACTTTTTTTATTTTCATGCGATATCGCTAGTCAATATTAGTAATCGTTGAGCGTTTTAATTATCAGTGCTTGTTTTTTGCTCGTCGTATCAAATAATCTTCTGTTACTTCTTGTACACTTTTGACTCCCCAGGTGTCGTACACCTGCACTCTTCCTGCAATTTCCGGAAACAAATGGCAGCTAAGGCAATTTCACAACATTTTTTGGAATTCGGTTTTTTAAATGAAGATGATTTTTTATTGCAGTTGCTGCAGTCCACGTTCGCCATGAGAAGTTGACAGATGATCAAACCGTCATTGCTGTTTTAATGTTTTCTGTTTTAATGAGAACAGGTCTTGTGCGTTGTATTATTCATTGTGTACTACCTTTGCATTGCTTTAAACTCCGCAAAGCGCGCATTTATTCGGTGAGCGACTCATCACATGGTACCTGGTTCACAGCATCAGTTGGTTCATAGTCGCTATTACTTCTTATTTCAACGTTTCTTTACTGTTGCTTATTCCGTGCTCGTATGTCATGCGTTAGATAAAGTCATTTCTTGTACGTACACGGTTTGCCTCATCACTCACCAGATTTGATTGCAGCAAACCTATTATTAATGTCATGCTGAACAGTCTTGTTTGATCGTAAGAATACATTATAAACGGATAGGATGGGGCACACGACTAGCACGGTTCGAAGTGAAGCTCGTCGTGCAGTGCAGTTGGTTTTGATTACTTGGCCTGATTTCGTTGAAATGATTTGTGAGCTTAACGAGAGGTATGCTTTGCATTGTCCTTTCCTTAGTTCTGAATATGAGTCGGTTTTTCTATTACAAGATTTACTTCTACGTAAATAACGAAAGTAATGCTGTCTGCACATCATCTAAGTTGCTAATTTTTAATTAAGCAAGTTAGAAACTTTTTGGAAATCCAGCTATATTGGGATATGTTCAGCGTTCTAAATCTACCAAGTTTAAGAAGTACAAACACATTCACGTCTATGTTGCTTTATACGTAAGGGAAGAACGAACATTTTTTCTGGTTTCAGCGTCCTTTGAAGCTGTAGTTTGGTGGAGAGAAAGAAACTGCACCTTTTAACATTTCTTTTGTACACTTTTCTTCTGAACTACTAATCAATATCGCTTTTTCATTGCTTCCGCAGTTGTGAAGTTTAGATGTTGCAAGTTGAAAGACGCAGATGGCTACTACTTAGTATTTGCTGTGAAACGAGGCAGCGCAGAAAACTTCTTATGGAAAGCAACAATAAGAATTTGTATACTGAGGGTCTGGTTTTTACTCCTCTTCTATTTTTTCCCTTTTATTTTTTTTCCCTTAAGTATTATTGATTTAGGAGTAGATTATCTTATTTTATCTTATTTTAAAGCTGATTTAAAATTAGTAAGAACTCCTTGGAGATCCTACATTTTTTTTTCTTTGAAGAAAAAGGACGAGCTTAACCCCGATTCGTATCGCGTTTTGACACTGGGCCAGTTTTTAACTTTGCATAAATCTCTACTAGTAATGTTAAATGGCTTAGACGATGACCCTGACGCAGTTTTGAAGGCATATAATTCTTCTGCGTATTTGGACAGGTGATTATATTATGTGATTTAAAGGTAGATCTCAGCACATTAAACTGTAAAGGAGTTACTTTTAAATTACACATAATTTCCCCTGGGAAAAAGTAGATTTGCGAGGTAAATTTATTGGAAACAGGCAGACTTTTTCCTTGTTATAAATATCAAGCGTTCTTTAAGTTTCATCATGTATACCAAATGAATTGTTACAGCCTATATCCAGAGAACGGCGAATGTATTATATGTATGGAACGAAGGACAGATACGATCATCTCTTGTATGCACTCTTATTGTTCTGTGTGTATTGAACAGTGGAAGGCCTACGGGAAGAACTTCTGTCCACTTTGCCGCGAACCGTTGCAAACAGATGGTTTGGATTCCTGGGTGATGCCCAAAGAGCCAGAAAATGATTTGCTTCGAGAGTACTTGGCTACGCTTGCGGTTCCAACTGAAGAGGATGTTAAAGAGTGACCTCAGAAAAGTAATCTAGTGTTGTTGTGGCGATATTGGAAGCATTCCTTCCCTTAGATGAAAGTTCACCTCCATGAGACCTACAGTTGTAGGAAGTGAAGGCGAAGGGGATGGAGTCGATGCAGTGGAAGCGTCCAGTGTTCCTTCTGGCTCGTTCCCTCATTGGTATTCTATTTCGTTTGGAGAAGTGAACGAGTTTAGACACAACACAACTGGAATCATCACTGCTTTTTGTAAACACCGATTTTTTTTTTTGGTGGATAACTATATGTATCTGAAATATAACTGTCTGTAAGCAACTGGTAATGATAGAAATAGATGTACTGTTTGTAGGTTTCAGTAATACTTTACTGCAGGGGCAGTAATGGTCGTCTGTCCAGACGGACTCCTTTGATAACTGGAGGAGGTTTGAACATACGTTTGCAGAACTCTCAAGCAAAAAATACTGTTTTAATTTCCTTGTCAAAGTGTTTTTTGCGAAGAGTTTACTTCCCCTACTAGCTGGTGACCCTTCATCGGGTATAATTTCTCACGTCTATCTGGGAATGTCGCCGTATTAAGAGAATAATGGCTTAGGGTGGGAAGGGAAGTTCGCAATCTGTGTATCTCGTGGGTGATGAAATAAAGGTGATACTGTGCTGTAGAATTCGTAGTATATCGGAACGAAACCATAAGGTGTGAACTGAAGCTGTCTATGGGACCTCATAAAGGAAAACTTTCGGGCACCCATGTGGGTTGCAGAAAGACGTCTTTGTTATTGGAAGATACAGAACTCTCACTTTATTTTCGTCTATGGTTACAACTTTATGAAAATACACAGCGGAAAAAAGCTTGAGATCAATGGCATTAGCACAAGAGATCAACTCCTACTGCCCGGAGTGACTCTGCAGCCGTCACTGAATCCTAGAAAATTCAAGTCGTAAGACCAAGCCATCCTTGAAAAAAGAAACTGAGTTACTACTTAGAGCTTGATTCCAACCAACTGATGCCCTACCTCTCAACCATGCCGACACTTAGACTATGTTGAAATCGAGGGTAATATGCAACCCCCATATGCCGCTGACTTACTGATTTATTAAGGATGTAGCTTAAAGACATGCTTAAGAATAAAATCCAGCAGATTTTCTTACAATAAATCTGAGCAAGATATCAGGTAAAAAAGGAGGCAGTGAAAATACAATCGAAACACGAACTGTGAAATTGAGGAGGCCAAGCTGCATATGTAAGAAAAAAAGGTTGGAGGAAACTACAGACGAACACATGCGTCTGATTAATAGGCAAGCACAAAAGCTGCCGCAATTTTCTGCCCTACTGGTTCCTAATGGTGCTCGCATACGGTAAGTGCACCACAACTCCTATATACGGAATGTTAACTAAGGCTAATTAATTGAGAAACCGTGAGCACTAGTTCTAGAGATATTCAATTTCCTAAATACTAGATGTAAAAACGGCAACCAGAGGAGCCTATACAACGCTGAGTTATATTAAAATATTATATACACAATACGGCCAATTTTAAGATTCCTATAAAAAACGAAAACTGCACCCTTGTAAAAATAATCATCCTTGAGCAATGAAGATCAAACCACAGGAGACCTACGATTACACCTTTTAAAGGCTATCAGTGTGACATCTGACTAAAAAAAAAAAAGAAAAGAAAAAACGGAAAAAGAAAATAAGACATCTCCGGTTAGTTCAGTTAGAAGTCCCTTTCCCTCGTAATTACTCGACCACAAATAAACGTCGAACCTTGAGCTTCCAGGTCTTATTATTTAATTTACTATGTTGACTGGGTGAGTCAGTTACGCAAAAATCACTAGCACTTGACTGTATCTGACGTACTTAAACACCTTATCTGAAAAGCACTGATTCATCTGGTCAACTTCAACTGTTAGATGCCAGAAAAACACTAAACTGAGAAAAAAGACCTGAGAAAGAACCTACCAATCAAGAACGGAACAGTCAACGTACAGAAACACTGCTTGAAGGGGAGGGGTTTACGGGTGAACCTGTTTTTTCCGAATCAACGTCATTAAAGTCGTTCGTGTCTCCGTCATGAGAGATTTTGACAGGATCAGCACCTACATTTATCACTAAAGGGGTATCTTGGAAACCCCTAAGCTTCGCCTCAAGCGCAGCTTTCTGAAACACAGTCACGTAAAAACACAGTTCCCTGCTAATCCAGAAAAGGTAAAGGAAGAGTAATAAAAATTATTAGAAGACCCAAAGGCCACTTTACTCTACACACTTAGCTCCGCTTGCTAGCTTTACTGCGAGGAACTTACGCTTACAAACTCACCTATCTCCAAAGTCGACTCAACAAACAACTTTACTTTTCGCTTCAAGTGCCACTTACTTTTCTACTGCACTTAGAGTCACTAATTTCTATAAACTATTTGCCAGTTTTCCAAAATTCTTCGTGGTTGCAACTATTTGTTTGTTCGTGCTTTTTCAATGCTGCTTTAACAAAAATTCAAAATAGTATAGACGGAAGCATTCGTAATGAAATACTGTCAGTTCCCCTGAACTACAAAGTGTTGGAAAAATCGTGACTGTCTCGCGAACAGGGGCTCAATCTGCTCCGGGATAAAAGGCTACTCAAAAACTTAACCGCCAATCTTTTCCTCAAAATGATAAGGCTTTAAAGTCTCAATCATTAATAAAAAAAAAAAAAAAACCCCGATACTTCAATCCCCTCCTTATCTTTTCTGCTCAGATGTTTAACTTGCATGTAGCATTTTTCAACCTGCTGGTAGCTAGTCTCTCGACCAAGTTTTTGAGGCTGCTAATAATAAACGTAACAGTTCTCGAAGCGGTTTAGAAGTAAGGCTAAAGCTGTTTTTTTTTGCTTAAGTGAATAAAAAATCATGTTTTTGTTCGCTTTTCATTATTTACAGCGAAATTTTTATGAGGAAAGGTTATTACCAAAAGTTAAGGATAATTGCCATCAAAAGATAAAAATTGAAAAATCACTTCAAGAACGCTCTTCTGAAAAATCTAGCTTTTTTCTACATCACAAATTTCTGCAATACATTTGTTGTTACTAGTTTATTTTTGCTATAATCGAAATAGCCGGGCTTATTTGTTTGAAGGCGCCTCAAATTTTAAATACTTTCAGCAGACTTCTTTGACAGTAAAATGTGACATAAAACTAAACAATTTGTACATTACACTTATGAAAAGATACCTTTTTTAACCTTGTTTGTATTCGTCGAATTCTGTTCCTTTCGTGATGCTGCAACCGTTTCGCAAGCATCCTGAAAACTCCTGCATTGTTAGGTACTCTTAATAAAAAGACCCTCCCAATCACGGAGCTACGTTACCTTCTTTGGTCACTAACGGTCTGAATACGTTGGTTCAAACGGGCAATCTCATCGCACAACGCAGCATTTTTCTGTAAGCAAAAAATATTTCAAAATCCGGTTATTTTCTAGCAACCAGTAGTGCCCCGATTAAGCGAAAACGTTGCTTACTATATAAAGTTAACTCATTCGTTTGGCTTTCACCGTACTTTTCTATCAAATAACGAATATCGGCAATGCAACAATATATCCTCTCAAAACCAGCGAGGTAGACTCGCAGTTGCAAATCAAGAAAACATATTAATTCTTGGTGGAAGAGTCGCAGCCAAATGCTGTAAAACAACTACAACAGACTTACGTAGGTCAACGCCTTTATTGAAGTTTTCAGAAAATAAAGCTTTCTCGTGTAAATTTCATCTTCACGCTGCTGCATTAAATGCCGAGGTAGGCCAAAAACGCGTTGTGATCCAGTTATTTGAGTCCCAGCGCGGCTTACAACGCCTTAAAGGCTAATTTTATGGAGGACAATGAAAACAACAATAAAATAATAAAATCA